CTCAAACTGGTGACTTTCGATATGATTAAAGTAGTAATAAAACAATACATATGGAATTGCGTGTACGATATATGTATTTTAAAGATAATGTAATTAAAAATATACTTTCTCAGTTCACATTAACTTGTTCTCATATATTAAAAATAAATGCTCTTTTTGTAATATTTATGTAACACTTTTTAGATTTTGAGATTCAAATAAATTTATTTTTTATTATAAGTTTTTTATAGATTTTTTATACCGTTATTGTGATTTATAGTATTTTTTACTTAGTTTATAAATATATAAATTTTATTTTTTAAAAAAATTGAAGAATCCATGTATAAATTTTTGTCAAATTTAAACTATTTGAGTCTCAAATAACCAAAAATATCACATAAATTGAGATGAAGAAGTGTCTATTTTACTTTTAAAATTTAGAAAATCAAAGTTAATTAGAAACGTTCTTATGAATTGAAGTATCATTGTGATACTTCAGATTTCAAAAAAGAAGTTATAAAATAATCATAATAATAATTGTGCCTTAGTTCTTAACAAATTATGATCAACTAAATAGAGAAAATTTAAAATAATCCTAACAATAATTATGCCTTAATTCTAAATAAATTGTGTTATTATATCATCGTCAAGCATGTAGAAGTTTTAAAACAATAAAAAATCGATGATGAGATATCAATAGTGGATTGCGCCAACCAAAACTTTGACTAAGAAAGTTAGGCTTAAGCATCAATCTCGATGTTTTGCTCTGATTAGCTTTTGTAGCATTTTCCAATTTCTTGTTTTCATTTTTTGTACTTAGATATGAGTAAGGTCGAGGGTATAATTGGTTAATTAGGTAACTAATAATTAATGTGCATTGTCATGCCAAGTCATTTATCACACATTCGAGATATTTTTCGTTTATTTTTAATTGTTATGATTTTATTAAAGTCAAATAATAAAAAATTTAATTAACATTTTACGATATATTTTTAATCATATTAATATATAAAATTTATAATTTATAATATTTTTTACATAATTATAAAATATTTATTTTTTAATTATAAATCAAATTAATATAATTTAATTTGACTTTAAAATTAATCAAATAAACTACTAAAAAAGCACTAACTACATATGGATGGGAGGGAAGGGAGTATATAATTGAGGAATTCCGTGTACTTATAGTCCCCCCCGTTTTTTTACTATATGAAATCCACATTTTGACACTTGAGATTTCGTAACGAGTAGATATTTTCGCAGAAGCATAATTTATTTGCTGGTTAAATACATTACGAGATATTTTTTCATACTTTCCGCATTCAGTTCTAGCTATTTCTGCATCTTCTAATCGACCTGAATAACATATACGGATCCCCTTCGCCCCTTTTTTCATTGCAAATACTCTTTCATATTTGCTAGCCTCTTCCCATAGTAGTATATATATAGCTTCAATTTCAACTTCAGTTCATTACCAAAACAATCCTTTATGTATTAAATAAAATTTAAAGAATTGGTTTGTAATTGTTTGTTAATTTTTTTGTTAGTTTGACAATTCTGTACGTCTTAGTGTCATTTTGGGTCTCATTTGTCATTATACACTTTAATTTGTATTTGTAGCTTTGTACTTGTCTAATTTGGCTAGCTAATACATTTGGCGTTTAGTTATAGAAGATTTTAGAAGTGGAAAACCTTAACCAATTATTGAAAAATCTACCATATAATATTTATTCAATAAACATCACAATATATCATTATTCAATATGAACTAAAGAAAAGATCTTGCTTACTATGCTTTATTTGACTACGTTTAAAATGATTTTTTAATATTTATATAGAAGTCCTTTTATTTTTTTCTCATGTCAACTAAAAGTATTATTGTCTTCAAAAGAGAATTGGGAATATATTCCTCTATTGAAAATATTGGGGAAAAAAAAGGAGTCAAAACATATATAATTGAAGAAAAGTATTAGCTAGACCTGAATAAATCATAATGTCCAATATTGAACGATATAAAGTTATGTGATTTGCAATTCAAATCCACTATTTATAATATGAAATTACTAATCGGCACCTGCAACATATGGTACTAATTACTATTAACTTGATAATTATAATAACTTTCATAAAATTTTCTTTCAAATCTTGGTGTCATATTTTTATTTGACAAAATATCAGATTGCGAGTCTCCGTTTCATCCATCCTCCTTTAATATGATATGAAACATCATTAACAATCTCCTTAGCTATTGATTACCTTAGATTATTGACTCAAGATGTACTTGAAACTTTCATCATTGGAGATGACTTATATATCAATCCTAACTTCTACATTTTTCTTGTGAGTTAGTACATCACTAAATTTACACTTCAGATACTTTGTCTTAATTCTACTTCAACCTGAATCCTTTAAACCTCAACATCTCTCCAGATCTTAACTCTCCATCGCATGTCTCGTCAATCAATACTATATCATATACAAATAACATGATATTTTCTTTTAAATATGTCTCTTCAGTTCAACCATCTCCAATGTAATAGTTATTAACTTGCTTTCAAGTTAGCAATAAGATTCAAACAAACATACAAGAATAGGAATTGTTTTTCACTAATTGAATAAGCAATTCTAAAACAGTGATTAAAAAAAAGCAATTCTAAAACAGTAATTTAAAAAAAAAAAGTGGGTCATAAGGCATATATATGATCGAAATTTTAAGGACCTCTTGTGTAAATAATTAACTTTTTCAATTTTTTTTTTCTAGTGGTGTTTCTATTTTGGCAGTAGTATTGTCTATTGTTAATGACGTGAAAGAAGATGCCCTTCTGGAATTTTCCATTACCAATAATAATAAAGGGATAAAGACTAACGCCTAAAATGCAAGTTGCGTTTGGGGATCAGGGTTGGGGGTGGGGTACTGTAAAGCAAATGCAAAGAAGTGCTGAATTGTGATTCCCAATTCTACTTCCTAATTGTTCTTCTCTGCTCTCTTCGATTCACCTGCTCCAGAGGCAGCAAACATCGAACTCCATAGCTGAAGCAGAACCCTAGCTCACGCCTTCTCTTTGATATTCGCTGTTTGGTAAGTCTATGAATTGAATTGAATTTCTTCCTGACGGAACATCGTTTCTGTTTTTTCTTTTTGTGTGTGTATGTGTTTGTGGAATTATCAGTGGATCTTACGAATTCGAGAGAAAAAAAAGCGTTTGAATTTCACTTTTTCTTCTGTTCGTTTTCATCATGGCAAGTTTGCATCGCGAAATAAGGATGAATTAGTGATTGTTACTCTTTGGAAGGATTTACACCTTTTACTTTCTTAGTGAATATCGTCATAATTAGTCCGTTTCAGTTTTCGTAGTGTAGTATGCTCTATTTTGAGCTGATTAATATAGGATCGATTTGATTAAACAGGCAGGGAATACTCATTAATATCGTTATTTTGCTTGATGTTTTACTTTCAGTGATCCTCCTCTTTGTTATCAACAAAAGAAGAAAGTGATGCTTCCTATTAACTGTTTAGTTGTGTTGATTCTGTCATGGTAATGTGCAGGCAGTGAAAATGTCAACTCCTTCAAGGAAGAGACTGATGAGGGATTTCAAGAGGTTACAACAGGACCCTCCTGCGGGTATTAGTGGAGCTCCTCAAGACAATAACATTATGCTTTGGAATGCCGTTATATTTGGGTGAGTTTTGTAATTGAAGTTCATGAAATATGTGCTTTGAATTTAGTTATAGCACTTGTCTATTGGTACATCTATTTGGCATGTTTTTTTACTAGATATAACTGAACTAATTTTTTTTTTAAATTGTTTTTTCTGGGTACTGAATGCAGTCCTGATGATACTTCTTGGGATGGAGGTGAGTTTTCCTTGCATTTAGATATTGGCTTTAAAGAATGCCAGAGCACAGTAGTTTGACATATGATGTGAGCTTGCAAATTGTCTGGTCTAATTTTATGTCTGGTTGTCTATGCAGAGTGTGAGGTTTCAGTTTTCTAAAAGCCTATTTTTTTCTTGTCATTTGATTTGTCATGCGTGTATCATTCCCACTCTGTCCACCCCACACGCAATAATAAAAAGAAGAATTTAAAGGAGAAGAGGTTGAGAAAAACAAGTGCAGTTGTAAAATTTTTTAATCATTCAACAAGGGATGTACCTCTTGCGCATGGTATTTATGATCATAGTATTGTGCTGTGATGGCAATCATTTGTTTCTCTGATCTTGCAATCCAAGTTTTCCTGCTCATACCATTATGATTCTCCACCTAATCATCTGTCATCATTTTGTTGCTTAATGCCAAAAGCAAATTAGTCAGTGAATAAGTGCACAGTGATCTTCTATACTTTTCTGCAATAGGTTCTTTGCATTTTGTCGAACTCTATGAATTTTGGTGATTTAGCTGTGTGGCACAACTTGGCTGCTCTATCTGCTTAGCTTTCAGAAATGTCTATCATGTCATGCCTAATCTTGTAACAAAAGGATCTTGTTTTGCTATCGGTGGAACCAAAAATGTCCTCTAGTGGACTTCTCGCATGGTTACACTTTTTTATGGACCGACCAAGGAATGTGTTACGAATTTGAAGCAATTTGAATTTGTGCTGTTGCTTTTAGCACATTTGCTATTTGCTCCATAGAAGAAGAGTAAACATACATTCTGCACCTGTCTCTGAGTGAATTATGAGTTGATATCTTCTTTCCTGATATGTATTTGATACTTTGTTCTGTCACAATACCCTTTGGAAACATCAGGTACGTTTAAATTGACGCTTCAATTCAACGAGGATTATCCCAACAAGCCACCAACAGTGCGATTTGTTTCTCGCATGTTTCATCCAAATAGTAAGTTGGAGGGTAGTTGTGGTTTTCCATTCATTAGAGAACAAATAAATGAATTCTAATCTGGAATTTGCTTTTCCACTTCTTTAGTTTATGCAGATGGAAGTATATGTTTGGATATCCTGCAAAACCAGTGGAGTCCAATATATGATGTTGCGGCTATACTTACATCCATTCAGGTATGGAGCTCAGACTTAGTTTCAAAGTCCACAATAAAGAACATCTTAGGAAAATAGACCAGTTTATTGTTTGTTTCCTTGAGTTTTACTTTTACTCTTATAGATGCAGTGGAAAGATCCTTATAACAGTAGTTAAATTGTGATAAGTAGGTGTTGTAAGCAGTAGCTACAGGTATGAATTCTATAAGTGTGGCTTTTCCTTGTGATAGCTTCCTTTTTCTAAAAAATTAATAAATCTATTCCTTATGTTATGATAGCTGGATTACTCACTTGTATGCTACTTTTGCATTTCATGCTTGGATAAATCCATGCGAATTCATTAATTCTAAATGTGAAAGTATAGAAGAATTATGAAGAAGTGATTCCAAATTCATTGTTTGAGGAAGGTTTTTATGGATTCAGTTGTGAAGTATTTCTCCCAAAATTTAGTACGATTCCTAGAATGTCTAGAAAGGGTTCTCTTTAACAATCTGGAAACTAGAAGTACGATTATTGTAAAGCTTTTAACTTTAGCCAAAGTCAAACCTCAGGACTTTTATCTAGAGGACGGTCCGAAATGCTTCTGTTTGAATTATGACAATTCTCTCAGGAGACTGCTCTCAATTTCTAAAATACTTTCTTTGGTCAACACAACACAGTTAATCTAACTGATCCTTTCGTATCTATTCTCTTTGGTGATTCATTTTATTTGAGGGTAAGTCTATTTTCCAAACAGTAAACAAAATTTCAAATCGTCCTACAGGCTACAAGTATAAACATTATTATTATTTGGATAAATTTCTTGAAAAAAGCTGGCTGATCATAATTACTAATAAAAAAAATGGGGCTAAAGAGCCCTGTTTGGACATTCAGCTTCAACTTCAAAACATTATTTACAAGTGGTTTGAGTAGCTTTTCAAGTGAAATAATGGTTTTCATTCACAAAACTATTTGATTTCCTGGGGAAATTTATGTCCATACGTAAATACTTCTAAATGCTCCTTTTCAGCTTAAACCAAATATTACCTGAATGCCTACATAGCTTTTCTAGTTTCTTCTTCAGAAAATTGTTACCGTGTGTTTAGAGGGAAAGTATATTTATTTAGTTCCTACTTCCTAGGCAGGCATTTGCTCTTGGGTGACTTCATTGAGGAACATTATTCCTAAGTGCAAGTTCGGTGATTCATTCTTCTCGTTCAACTCCTTGATTGGTTTAATGGTAGTTGTACATATCGAACCCTTTTTATGTCCTCCAGTATCAATGAGCTATTGAGTACACCGGTTTTCATTTAGCCATAATTATCATCTCTTATCAAGTGATCTTAATCAAGAAACCTTGAAAGTGACAGGAGGTAGAAACAAATAGAAGCCGTGGTAGGTAGAAATAAAATCCTTGCTTTATGCTTTCATGGAATAAATTAGTCCCAATATAATAGGACGTCAACATTTGCAGAGTAATATTAGTAAATAGGATAAACTCATTTCCTAACGAGTCTAGGTTTAGGAATTGCCAGACACTTCATTTGATGAAGAAAAAGGAAGTTCTGATTACTCTCCGAACCCATATCCTAACGAGTCAACTTGAATTTCCCTCTGATATTTCCTTTCGTCATTTTTACACAGACAAGTAAGAAAGATCTCGGATAAATCTCCCTCCCCCCTCTTTTTTTCTCTCACCAAAGTGTAAGGAAAACTTCAAAAATATATTGTCTATTTCTTGTTGTTAGAACATTTAGGATGACAAGTATAGAGGTCATTTTGCACATGTATATTTTTTTTACTTTAAATGTAAAGAAACTTTAGTACAAGATTTAATTTCAAAAAAAAGAAAAATTAATATAAATGTAGAGTCTATAGTTAATCTCAGAGGGTCTCTTCTTATTGGTACAAGACCAGATTTTTGGCTTCTAATTTTTAAGTATGAAACCCCTTGCCAAGGAAAGCAAGAGATTTGCCTTCTAGGGCGAGCTCGTCGCACCAGGCTTGCCTGTTGCGGGTTACCTCTCCTATGTGGTTTGCGAGCTATTGCATAAGAGTGAGGTTTTCCCCGTGCTTCCAAGAGGGTAGCGGCTGCGGGTTTCCCTTGTCATTTAAAAAAAAAGAGTTTCTCTTTTGGATGTCTTGTAACTAGAGCCTATATCTCTCAGCACTACCTTGTGCTCAGACCTGTTCTTTTCAGTTACTAATGAAATCCTGCTACTATTTTTTTAAAAAAAGGGTTGAATGGAAATCCGCAACCGCTACCCTTTGGGTGCGCACAAGGGTAAATCTTCGCTCCTATGCAATAGCTCGCAAACCACATAGGAGAGGTAACCTGCACTAGGCAAGTCTGGTGCGATGAGCTTGACCTAGAAGGCGAACCCCTTGCTTTCGCTGGCAAAGGGTTTCGAACTTGAAACCTCTAACATGGAAGTCCCAAGCTCAAACCACTGGGCCACCGTGAAGGGTTTCTTGAGAGTGTTTCTTGTAATTGGAATTCCTATAATCTCTACAATCTACATCATAGCCGAACCAACATATATGGACTTGTTATTGTGAGGGAGATATGTTTGAGCAAGAACTCCTAACTAGCACCTGCTGATGAATGCAATGTTCAAGCTCTTGTGTTGATTATATAGTGTATAGCATGAGGAGGGAGCATCAGATTAGATCATCTTTTTTATTATCACTTATCAGTATCATAACTCTATCTCCAGGTATACTGCTGTTTCCTAGGTTGTCCTCCTTTGTGAAAATAGACAAGACAGATATTCAGTAAAAAGAAATTGGGTGGGGATGGGATTGGTTATGGTGGTTGATTGGCTCGATAATGTATGGTTACTGCAGTGTGCGCGCGAGAAGGGTATTGGTTTTACATGTACTGGGCTTACTCCAACAGTCCAACCCTCTGTTTCCCTCTTGGTTGTATAAGTAATGATTTGTTGAGTAGGGGAGGGAGGTGAAAATGATGTTCCTCAAATGGTGGGTTAGGAGAGATAAAATTGTAGTTGTTTTTTACCGCTGGAGACTTTACTGCAGACTAGCATCGTACACCTTCAGAAGAGTACTTTGGACTTCTTGTTTGTGTAAATGATTATGACTTTTATCTTATTCTTGCAGTCACTGCTGTGTGATCCAAACCCTAATTCTCCTGCAAACTCAGAAGCTGCTCGGTTGTTTAGTGAAAATAAGAGGGAGTACAACCGGAGAGTTAGAGAAATTGTGGAGCAGAGCTGGACTGCAGACTGATACCACATATATAGAGGTTATTGCAACCTCAATCATGAGCTTTCGGGGCTCATCTGTGTAATAGTTCCAGACACCTAAGTCCGGAATTGTAATTTTAGTGGTGCACACTCATGCTGATCCCAGCATAGTTTCTCTATGCTACTCCCCCTCAATTGTTGTTCACCGCTTGTCAAGCTCCTGTAGATTATGTCTTCTGGTATTTTGGATTTGTTTAGATTATGCTATTTGCTTTTCCAACAAAGATGGTTTTCAGATACTTCCATTAACTCCCAAGTTTGGATTTAACTTGTAAGCCTCGCAAACCTAATGTATAATCATATATTTAAATTGAAAAGAAGCAACAACTTTTCATTTGATTTTGGATCATTTTCTGTCAAAATTCGTTTTAGTTTTAATTAGCAGATCCCTTTTCGTACTGATTGGTTATTTATCTCATTAAGTCTATCAGTGAAACAGTTAAAGCTGGGTCTACATAGTTCTAAACAATACTATCAGCATAAAACATTTCTATGAAAATGTCACCTTTTATTACAGGGAAGGGATAAAAGCGCTAATGAGTTGGAATGACAGGAAGCTGTATTAAAGATGAAATCTAACAACTGTGGTATTGAAGTGAAAATATTGTTGTTGCATAGTTCCAGTTCCACCTGGACTTAATCGTCTAGTATATTGAGAGTTTCTAATCTAAAAATTTCCACGTTACTGAACTTTTGGAAGTCGACAACGTTGGTCATTGCACTTAACAGTTAATGTTACACAGAACAATCGTATTGCACTTATAGTCTACGCATCAAGTCCTACAGTTCAAATGGACAAAATAATGCTAGATAACAAAGCGCTAACAGGAGCGAACTACACAGAATGAAGAGGGGCCCGTACATGAAAAAGGACACGACACCAAATGGCCAGGCTCTCGCTTGATCTAAAATTTTGGGCAGAGATATCACTATTATATCCAATATAACTACTTCAATACACTTGCAATTCTAACTGTGTATATTAGATGATGAAAAAACAGCAAGTAACAATATTCATGTAATGCATAGAACTGAAGCATAATAAAAACACTTCCAATATGATACCAAATGCAATTTAAAACATAAACATATATGTATAATAATGCCCAAAAGTCTTGGGTCAAACTAGGACCAAACAAGGAAAACATGATTCTTTCACATGCAAACCCCAGAAGTTGACACTTCCACTCGACCCTTCTATGATCTATACAAGGAATAACTTCCTGCTTATGAACACCAAAACAAATAAACATAACATAAGTATGTTCAACATTCTTTGATTCCATACATGCATTTAAACTTCTGACTGTGGAGCATCCTGCAAAAAGTGATAGTAAAGTTAACTATAGTATTATTACATATGTTTACAATTGCGAAAAAAAAAAAAAAAGATGGCAGTTAGTCCTTACTCAAGAAGCCAGGTTTCACATAAAAGAGGAAGTTCTAAGAGGTGATGGTGTCTTCAGGTGATTAATTATTCAGAGAAGACAAAAATACAATAGTTCACCAGTAGAAGATTGGAAATTGATCACTCAGAACTTCAAAAAGGCTTTTGAAACTCACATAATGAAAGGATGTCAAAAGGGAAGTTAAACCATAAAATCTCTTCTTACCATGTTCTCTTTGTCTTCTGGAAGGGCTACCTCAACAGTGCCAGCATTAGCATGACCTTTGATAAAAATAGTTATAAATCTCAGTAACATACAAAAACATCAAGACTTTTGACCAAGAAAGTTACCAACAGACGTTTACCTTCAACTCCAGCAGATTTCTTTCCCTGTCTTTTCGCCTTATTCTTATTTGGTTTTTGCTTAGGATTTTCAATCTTCTTTTTTGTGGTACCAGAAAACTCTGTAGATTTTGAAGTTGCAGCAACCTCTGTAGAGTTTGGAGTTGTAGCAGTCTTACTTACAGATTTATGGTTCTTAGTTGCAATGTCTTTCCTTGATGAAGTCTCTTTAGTAGGAGGTTCTGCCACTTCCCAAGTTTCAATAGCATCTTTGGTCACGACTTCAGGGTCTGATTTCTCAGTGCCTGCAACAGATGAATTGCACAGCACTTCATCATCAGATGAAGGTGTCCCATCTTGAGGTGCATGGGAACAAGTCTCAGACACTTGCAACTGCTCAAAATCATGAGAAATATTGTAGCTTTCAAACAATTGTTTCACTGGCTCCCCAAGATCTAGAAGGTTATGACGTTGCACATAGGATTTCAGCTCATCCCTCAAACGTTGAAGAGGCTGAAATAAAAAACAGAAAAAGATATGAGGTCAGTAGTCTGTTTCTATAGCATAATTCACTATCTACAGGCAGTTTTGAATTTCTGAATAACATTGCGATGGGAAAATAGTGAAATTACTAAACAGCACTAAACTTCTTAATTAGAAAAAATAAATGAAAAGTAGGTATCTGCCGATCTTCAGGGGACACGGTTGGGAGAGTATTTTCATTAGATATTCTGTAGAATGGTCCCCTTTTGATGGAACATTTATCGTACCTCACAGCCAACTTCCAAAGCAAGTTTGAAAAACCCAAGAGAAATTGAATGCTTAGCAGCAGATTCTGAGAGCTTAATCTGGGATAGCCAATAGAGTGCAGAGAATAGACGATTGCTTTCCTTTCCATTTGATGACTTTGCCAGAGCTGATAGCGGTGTATTAGTTTTCCCCTGGTTGATGACAGATCTCTTTGCCCTAGCCTCAGAAATAGGAGTGACAGTGCCTACTGATCTTGAGGCAGGGCTGGCACTCGACTTAGACTGAATAGACAGCCTTCTTGGAGGTTTAGCAGCAGACTTTTCCTTGCCGAGATCAAAGACACCAATACTCTTACTAACACTTGAGACAGGTTTTACCCTAACATGGGAGATGAAATTATTATAAGCAAATGGACATCAGAGGAAACAAATATTTGGCATATGTGAGAACAAAATGACTGGGAAAAGTGCACATCCTTAAATTCACTACACTTGTGTACATTACAATAGTTTAATTTGTTTAGATTTCTGTTCAAAAGGAAAAGTGATAACCATTCTCAGAAACTTAACTTAGGCTAGGTTGTCTTTCACCAAGACCCCATTTATCCCCATGGGAAAAAACATAAAGCTACAATAACCTCAACTTTAGAGACAGGTTAACATCTGTTTATGTTAAGTAAAATTGATAAGATGGTATACTTTATTCCAGGGCAAAAATTATCGTACAGTTTGTAGAAGCAGTTTTCAGCTATACTGATTGTAACTGTTAAAATAACAAAGCAGAGCATCACGTATACAAAATTCTGCAATTTCTTTACCCTTTTCCAAAACCAAAACAAATAGCTATTTCATGGCAAATAGTTCAATGTAGGTCTGCAAAGGAGCAGAGAATTCATCCAAACAAAGAACTCATACAACCGCTGTCTTCTGACAGTCTAATCACACTAAATTCGCTACACAGACTAAAAATCAGAGAAGTAGTTACAGTAATAGAGACAAACCTTCTAGGAACCGAAGAGTTGGAAGCATCAGTCAGAGGCGGCTTCTCCTCCTTGGGCTTGGTGCCCGATCGCAGTGGATATCGAAGAAGCTTCGTTGCTGATGATGATCGCTTAGCATTTGCTGCGGAAAAAAAAACCGTCAATCACATCTACACATACAGCGAAACAAACGTATACGCACAATCATAAATGAAAAACACAGAGAAATCAAAAAGTGAAGACAAATACCAGAAACAGAGGATTGATCTTTGCCGGAGATTTCCATTGATAAATTTTAGGTTTTCCAGAGAGGTAGAAGGAAATGATGAGAGTTGAGAAGTTAGGGCTGACTATATATATTCCCAAAAGATGGCAGTGGTGTTTGGGCGGGAAATTTTACAACTGCTTCAAAATTAAATCTAAAAATTCTGTAGAAACGGCTCTTCGGGCTGGGCCCGTCCAGTGGGCCCAATTAACACGCTCTTATCATATTGGTTTCAAATTTTGAATGCTAACCGTTAATTGCTGAGTTGGCAGCGCATTTACGTCTACAAGTGAGCATTAAGCATTAAAATTAAAAGTTAATTCAGAAGCTTATCTATCTTTTCTATATTTCTCCATCAAAAAGTAAAACAGTTTTTCTATCTCAATTTTGTAAAATTTCACTTATATATTGTTGGTGTGGTGTTTATATGATCAATAAAAAATTTTATGTATAAAGAAAAAAAAATTACACTTTTGCTTTGATATATTATTGGTGTGGTGTTTACACAACCAATAAATACTTTTAAATATAAGGAAAAAAGATCAAAATTACACTTTACTACCAACAAACACTTTTAAATATAAGGAAAAGAGATCAAAAATACACTTTTACTTTCAAATTTAACTTCTAAATCAGCCTCTCAGTTGTATATCATGTCATTATTCTTTTTTCTTGAACCACAGGTGCCAGCAGTTTTTAATTGCCTCAACTAATATACACTGATCATTTTAAGTGTTTGTCCCTCATCTATCTGCTGTACTAATTTTAAAGAAGTATAACTAAACCAGAACAAAATGCAACCGTTCCAATTAGGTTAAGAAGATACATCAATTATTTATCAAAGATATAGAAAAGAGAAATGTTTCCATTATAAGAATGACAGTAAATGTTACAAATAGTTTTGTAATATACAAGATAAATTAATGTTAACGTAAAAACGAAGCTATGGCATACAAAGAACCATCCGGAGAAAAATAATGTTCTTGTGACAAACAGATGTCCCAAGCAGCAAACACATTTACAACAATTCACTTATACAAAAAAAAAAAAAAGGAAAATCTGTAAGACCTTTTTTACTGTGATTATCAAAATTCTATC